TCAGCTACTCTATACCTATATTTATATTATACAGGGTATACCATTTAAAACAAAACAGGCTAAATATCTGATATCACTTATATTTTTTTGAAAAATCGCTCGTACACATAATTTCATTGTGTGAGTGTTTCAAAATTCAGTTCTTATGAGAGATATGTATAACTTTAACGAACTTCGGTTCCAACTAGATCTCATGGATATCGTATGGCCAGATTCCCTGCAATCCACGAATGACATAGCCAATCACCTTGTTCAGACAATATCTCATAACCTTAATCAACACGCGCCTTTAGTCGAGAAAAGGATATACGGTAAATATGGGAACCAAAAATGGTGGTCACCAGAAATTAAAGAACAAGTATCACAAAGAGACATATTATACAAAAAAGCCATAATTACACATCAAAATGAAGACTGGAAATCTTACAAACAACAAAGAAACAAGGTAGTGCAGATAATTAGGTCACAGAAGCAAAGATATTACCATGATCAAATTGATGAAGTTAAACATGATGAAAAAGAGATGTGGAGAACGTTAAAAAATCTTATAAGTGGACCCAAAAGTGCTAAAAATAGAGGAGTTATATTCGAGGATCGTATGGAAACGGAGAATACAGAAATTGCAGAAAAATTCAACAACTATTTCTTAGATAGTGTTCGAGTGTGATATTAGATAACATTGTAACACCTGTAAATAAATTTGAGCAGTTCTATTTGCTGGAAATGAGGGAATTGAAAAATATAGTGAATAACTTGAAAAATAAAAAAAGTAGTGTGGATGGTATCAACGTCAAGATACTGAAGGCAGCATTTGAGTCAATTGGCAATCGGTTTCTCCAGCTTATCAACTCCAGTTTGGCAACAGGTAGTTTTCCCAAAGATTGGAAACTGTCAACTATAGTTCCCATCGAAAAAATAAGAAACATAAACAAATGCGAGGAATATCGACCTATCAACATGGTGCCAACATATGAGAAGCTTTTGGAAACAGTTGTAAATAAACAAATGAGGAAGTATATTGAGGACAACAAATTGCTTACCGAATTTCAAGCTGGTTTCAGAAAAAAACATTCTTGTGAAAGTGCTCTACAGACTGTCATCTCCAGATGGAAGAACGCGCTGAGTGTGAAGGATGTGGTTGGGGTTGTCTTTTTAGATTTCCGAAGAGCGTTTGAGACTATAAATCGTAGTCTTCTTAAACAAAAGTTGGAAAAAAATGGTTTTCAAGGAACGGTCCTTAAGTGGTTCACAGAATATCTGGACTCAGCAGACAAAATATCACAATGCCATTTCATCAGTGAAAGTAAACAGATATGGTGTACCACAGGGAACAGTTATGGGTCCGGACCTTTTTGTATTGTACATAAACGATATTGTCAGAGTAGTTAAACATTGTGAATTGCAACTTTTCGCAGATGATACCGTCTTATTCTTCCAAAGTGACAATATGGACAACTTAATAAAATTAATTAATGAAGATTTAGGTGGGCTATATAAATGGCTGTGTGATAATAGTTTGAGTGTTAATATCAAAAAAACTAAGTTCATGTTATTAAAAAACAAGAATTATAGTACAGATATCAACTCTCATAGTAATGTATTTATAAATGGTGTAGAGGTAGACAAGGTTAAAGAATTCAAGTATTTAGGAGTAGTTATTGATGAGTTCCTAACATTCTCTAGTCATGCGAGGTATCTGATTAAGAAAGTATCAAAAAAAATATATTTTCTGTGTAGAATAGGTCGAGACCTAAGTGGTTGGACTAAATTAATTATCTATAAAACAATAATACTACCACATTTTTACTACTGTGCTTCCATTACGTACATGTTTGCCAAATCTGACTTAGACATACTGCAGATAAAACAAAACATAGCTTTAAGATGTATTTTAGGATGTAATAGGTACACAAGAATAAAAGACATGCTGAAGTCGACAAATTTATTAAGTGTAAGACAGAATATTTATTTTTGTACCATGATAGTAGCTTATAAGATAAAATATGGTTTGTATCCAGAACATACCTATATTACATAGGTTGCAATTTGTCTCTGATATTCATAATTATAATACTAGAAGTAAATTTGACTTTTATGTTCCGACTGTCCAGGTCTTCCTTCACACAGAATAGCTTGTTTCATAAAGGATTAGTAGAGTTTAACAATCTTCCTAGTGATATTAAGAATGAAAGATTCGCTACATTTAAGGTTAGGTTAAGAGAATTTATTGTTGAAAACTAAAATAGTGTTTAAATACTGAATATTTTGTTAATGTAATGATGTATTTTTGTTGTTGTTTGTTAGCTGATGCTATTAATAAATGCTATTATTATTTAATTTTCAGCACTAACTTAACCACCCTCTATGGGGGGTGGGACAAACCCTCACTATTCCAAATGGAACAGGGTTGAGTTATACCTGTTCTAAAAGTGCGTTCAATCTACTTTCAAATGAAAGAGAATTGAACACTCTTTTAAAAGAGTTATCACTCGACCCCTTGTTCCAAGCAACTTCTGGAAAAAAGATCATACTACAATGTTGAAGAGTTTTTCAGTGACCCAAACAAAGTAGAACTTTTAAGATAGATCAAAATATAGATATACAAAAGTACCTGACCAAAGCCTTACCCAAAAGTTATTTTATTCTCTTAGTTTGTCCACATCACGTTTGTCTTTTATATTGTATTTTTTAATTTCTGTGATTTACTCTTTTATGTTAAGCTCATTAAAATCATCGTATTATTATTTCGTATTTATGAATGTATGTAGGTATACCAAAACAATAAATGGTTAAATTTTATCGAAATAATATGTAAGTGAAGGTTCTGTCCAATTTATAGTATTAGAGTTTATAAGATTTTAGTTATAGTTACATGTAGTATTTTTATTATGACGTGATCTACGCCAGTAAGGGTAAAAAATGTATGTTTTTTTTTTATACAGATCAAATAAAAGCAAAACTAAACTAAACTAAACTTACGTGTACAAGCGATTTTATTAAAAACGTGGCATCAGATATTTAGCCTGTTTCGTTTTAAATGGTAAGCCCTGTATGTGTTTACGGACGCATAAATATTCACCTGCAAGACTCTTGCACGAGACACGAGACTCTTGCACGAGACGTCTCACATGAGACTCCAGACGAGACCAATAAAAGTTTTGACTTGTCTCGTCCAAGAGAGTCCGAGTCTCGTCTCCAAAACGAGACAAGACCATGCAAGACTTTCGACTCGTGGGAATCACTACAAACTTGAGACTTTTTGACATTGAAAACTTTGAAAAATGTGAAAATTTGGGTTAGTTTTTCTCGCTTTTTCATCCACAAACTTTGTTTTTTTTGTCTTCGATGATATTAGCAAATTCAGAAATTATCCTTGTTGGGGTTTTCGATGATTTCGATTTACGAAGGACCAGTCAAACAACTAGGTTTGACAAAAACGATTTTATTCTGATAAAGATCTCGATAAAAATGGACTGTGAATGTGTGTTAACGATTTGACAAAGTTCAAGAATAATAATGACAAATAATGACAATTGGAAACGCCATAATTAATTATAACAAAAAAAAGTCTCATCCATGGTTACAAAAATCCAGGAACCATGATAAAATGTTTTTGTGGGTGCGCTCGGAATGGAACAATCCTCATGAGAAGAAAAAAACGCTGCCCAGTTTTGTGTTATTTGTTTTGAATGTAATGTTGTTTGATTGTTTTTCTGTGTTTTTTAAGGGAAAATGGGATCCTTTCAGTAGTTGATTGGCCAAAATTAGCCAAAATCCCTCCGAAATCTCTCAGAAATCTTTCTGCAAACCCAAAAATCCCTTTCAATTGGCCCAAAATTCATAAATCGGTCAACACGACCATTTTTCAGTTTATACTAATTTACTAATACCTTGATAATACACTGTCGAATATACTTATAAGATAAGTAACAGTCTAAAATAAAATTAAAATATTTTTGCGAAATCACCTGAAATTCTCTGAAATCACCCGAAAGCCTTCGAAATCAACCGAAATTCCTCAAAATCGCTCTAAATCTGAAATCTTGTCAAAGTGAATAATCCTCAGTATAATCCCTCTCTAAATCCCTCGGAATCTTTCCGAAATCCTACCGAAATCATCCGACATCACCTGAAATCTCTCTAAATCCCAAATCTTGTCACATTTTGCCACCCTATTTTTTAAATTTGACCTCACTGTTGCAGAATAACACCCATTTTAATGTTTAAAAATGCCTGTTTATCCTTAAATATACACACCTGCTTGTTTACCTGTTGCTGTAATACAAAGGTAAGTAAAGCAGAAGGTGTGTTTAAGGCGAGAAAAATAGGAGGACAAAATGTACAGATTAAACAGCCCTTAAAAATGATCTATCACTCGACCCTCTGTCTCATTCGAAAATTTTGTGGTGGTAGGAAGGAGGTCCAGTTTCACATGAGAAACCGAGTGAAAAACCTTCTCCCACAATAAATTTGTTGAGGTGTTTTGGCGATTTCCACAAAAAATATGCCTCTTTACGCAGATAACGTGGGTGGCAAGTGTTGAAATGGGAGCCCTGTATGTAACTCTAGAATGTGAAATTAGCTTAATTGTAAGCTTCTAGAAATAAGTCACAGCTCTGTAACATAGGAAAATACAGTAATATATTTGATTTGATTTTGATTTTGAGTTAAGCTAAACAAATGGTTACAACAACAAAATATATCCTGCAAGCACTGCCCTATTTTGAGCAGTTCTGCACAATTGACACTTTCTGTATTCAACTGTAGCATTCATTGCGATTCTGCTATGACAGCACTATTGCAGGAAACCGTGATTATACTTGACTCCAAAACAGAAATCTAAATTATCCTAGGGCTCGAAAGAGTCCCCCAGCTGTTTATTTATCAAAAATATTACATAAGTTGACAGAAAAAGTTGGGTTAGTGAAGCACTAAATTTAGGATTTGAGCAGCCACTCATAAATTTACGAAATACTCTATTACAGATAAAAGTTAAATACCTTGGGAAGGTCCCTTCTGCATATGGGACACTCATTTTGCTTGCACAAAATCCTCATGCGAGTTGAACATTCGAAACATACTGCATGATCGCAGGACCCCAGGGAGTAGATTTCTACGTTTTTGAAGCACACACAGCACAGGTTGTCGTCGTCGCTTAAATTTTCATTGGTTTTTCTCGACATTGTCGAAATTCAGTATGGGAAAATTATAGTAAAAAAACTTCTGAAAAAGAAAAGTGAAACAACACTTTTAGTAGTATTTTTTTTAGGATAGGGGAAGTGGCACTGCCTCGAAGTGGCCAACCACTAGGAGCCAAGTTGTCAAATATTTTGGTTTGTTCCAACAACCAACAACTACTAGTAAAAACCTGTACCGAGGCACAACAGTCCCATTCCACAGGGTTTTCATTTGTATCTGCTCTGCTTAGAGCAGCTCTAGACTTCGAAACTCGGAGTGAAGAAACTGCATTCTTATGAGAATGATCACAACCACTGCTTCCCCTGTTTAGTGAATAGGAGTGAAGAAGTGTTCGGAACAGATTGGCAGACTTGATACTTTGCTTGGTCGGCACAAAAATATTGGGCTTTGATGGCTTTTTGGAACTGACCAAAATCGATCATGCACTGGAGTACCTGGAGTGCAGGGAGCGAACAAGCCGAACAGATTTCACTAATCGGTGACGGTTTCCGAAAAGTGAAAACCCCTTACGGCCACCTCAAAACATAACCCTTTTTTTTTGTTTAAATAAACTTTGAGTTCTTGGAGAAAAATTTAATCAATTAAAATTATATAACTAAATAAATTCATAATGCGTTATTATTTATCAATAATATTCAACTTTGATTAAATGCTTCCATTGGTAAATTGTAAGTAGTAATTACAAGGCAAATATTCAAATTAAAGACTTATTTATTTTATAGATATCCAAGTGTGTAGATATTTGAACTTTTCATCATGGAAAAGACTTGACAATAAACTGAAAACCGCCCTTTCAAAGTTATATTGCACAACATCGAAGCATGACAATGAACAAAACCCAGATACACATGGAACAAAAGATGTAGTTTTAGAGGCTCCGGAAGAACCAAATACTTGTTGCATGTCTGGCTGCGCCAATTGCGTTTGGCTGGAATACGCTGAGAAACTGACTGAGTACTATAAAGACGGAGGAGAAAAATCAATCAGGGAAATAAATGAGAAAATTACAGATTCAAATATTAAGGCTTATTTGTTGCATGAATTGAGAATGAGGAATAAATGAATGCAGAAGGTGGGTGTTAATTGAAGCATTTCAAATTCGCCCAGACAGTACCTGTCTCCGAGCATCATTTTTCCGAACTTCATTATGGTGGTCCGTTAGTAAATGTACGTTGCTCAAACAGATTAGTTTGTTTCGTTTGTGGCTCATTCAATTTGTTCAGCCAAAATGCTCTAATGAATAGCCTCTCTCAAGTTTTCCAAAATTTTCTGGTTTATTTTTTATTCACTAGTTTTTATCAAGATTGTTTTTTTTTGGAATTTTGTTAGTCATAAAAATTCTAAGCTTCTCAAATTTACTTTAATATGAATGATTTCCTCTTTATCTTGTTTCCTTTATTTCCAATTTTTTTTTTTTTCATTTTATTTTGAAAGATTTGGTTGGAAAACAATAGCTATTTTCAGGTTTGAAAAAACGACGGTTCTAGAACGGTTCAAAACAATCGCACAGTTCATCAATCAACAAAATGACAACGGCTCAGCTATCACAAATTTCAATAATAAACTGTGTGATTGTTTTGAACCATTCTAGAACCGTCCTTTTTTCGAACCCGAAAATAGCTAATGTATCTGTTGCAGGCTTTATGTAAAATCAGTCTTATTATAATACGCCTAGGCTTTTTCAATATGACTAGGCATATTGTAATACTACCCAAATACTTGAGAATTTCACAATTAGACTAGTAATTTTAGTCGCATTATAATACGCCTGCTGCATTTTAGTCTTATTCTTAAAATGAACCTGCGCTAGAATCAGACTAGATGAAATCCGTCGTATTATAATACAACTGATGGCGCACCAGGCGAATTGTATTGAATAAAACTTCCAATATGCCTTTTAGCCTTTTGGCCGATATATTGTGCTGAACGCTAACTTTCTTATTCTTTATGATGAAGAGACCTTTAAATTACCAAAGTTTTAGTATTTTGTCCAAATTTCTAAAATCTATGTTTATCGATTTCTTATTGCTATAAAACTTCTCGAGTTCTCAATAATAATTGCCTTCATGTACAAATATGTATAATATATAAAATCTTTATTTGATTTTTTTACAATGATAAAGTTAAAACAAAATACATTGCATACCCGAGTAGGGTGTAAATCTCGTCATATAAAATAATTTTAATAATTTAATTACAGAGTTAAAATAATACAAACTTCAAACACTAACATTTTCTTAACATCCAATACATTTAAAAACATTTCCAAGAGAATACATTCAATAAAATTGGAATACAGACGACAATAAAAAATTACCTGAATTATTTTGGTCAAACAGATTCAAAAAAATAAAAATAAAAACATACTTTTTACATCAAATTCCCCACCTCTTGATCTTCATAAAATTCCACGATACTGTAATATGCCTTACTTTTTAGGAAATTCTTAAATTTATCTAACAGCAGTTCTTGGGGCAATTTTCTAAAAACAATTGGCAAGTTGTTCCATATTCTTTTTATACTATAATTTACATTCTTCTGGACGAAAGTAAAGTGAGCAATATCTGATGTCATGTTTTCTTTATTCCTTGTTTCATAAGGGTGATTTAATCTCTGGTCTAAAAATAAATCTGGATTCTTTGATATAAACCTCACACACTCTAATATGTAAAGATTGAAAACGGTTTGTATATTGTTGTCAATGAAATGTTGTTTACAACTTTCTCTATATTGGAGTCTGAATATCATCCTTAAACATTTTTTTTGTAATTTTAAAATCCTTAATGCACCACTCGAACTCCCCCAAAATATGACCCCGTATCTGACCCTCGATTGCACAAAAGCATGATATGATGCGAGAGACGAGGACTTGTCGACATTGTCTCTTAAGATTCGAAGAGCATACACCTGTCTCCCCAAAGCACCCGAGAGTTGGTTTATATGCTCTTTCCAGTCTAGCCTTTTATCAAGTACCATACCCAGATAATTCACTGAAGCAAGAGCTTCCATAATAATATACCTAATAATAATTATTATTCGACTGACACACTGTCAGTAGTATTATAATACAACAAATTTTATCTAGTCGGATTTGAAATAATTGTGTGCCAGGTTCATTTTAACAATAAGACTAGCAAGCGGCAGGCGTATTATAATAAGCCTGAAATTATCAGTCAAATTGTGTGATTCCGAATTATTTGGGTAGTATTGCAATACGCCTAGTCGTATTGAAAAAGCCTAGGCGTATGATGATAAGACTGATTTTACATTAAGCCTACAACATATCTAAATCTAAAACTTGAGTGGAGTCGAAACTGAGATGTTTTGGACATTCGCAAACGTTTCGCACTGTTTGTTGCACCGGTCTGGATTGCACCATAAGACATGGAGACACTGGCCTTTTTGGAAACGCTGATCCGATTAACTTTCGGATTAACCGGATCACCATGAGGAAAACAACTTATTTGAAATATCATTTCTTCGAATCTTACCTTTTTAGAAAACGCCTACTATAAAAAAAAAGGTAAATGTTGCAACCATGTCTGCGCTGTGAAGCTTAGGGTTGAACGAAGGTGCGCCTCAAGGAGCGGTACCGAAAGGGTAGGCAGACAGAAAATGAGAGAAAAAAGGGAACAAGCTTGTCTTGTCCGCCATTGTTCATTATTCAGTTTTTATTTTGTATTAAACTGATTGTTCAATCTAATGGGTACATTCAGGCGGTGCCAGCGGCTAAGTTCAGCCACTCAGCAGAGGGAAGTTATTCTCGAAACAGGGGAGCAGCGCTCTCATGAGAACCAAGGCTCTGTCTTCGTCGTCCGGTATTCATATTTCCATAACACTGACAATGACAGAGCAATCGTTATCATGAGAACACTGTTCCTCGGTTTCGAGAATAAAGTTCTTGCTGAGTGGCTGAACTTCGTCGCTGGCACCGCCCGAATGTACCCAATTTGTGATTAGCTTGTGTGTCAAGGAGCATTCACAGGTCAGTTGAATATTTTTTTTCTCTAAACGTCAAAAAAACGTCACTTTGTCAACACCTGTCAAGGTGGTAGAAGAGTATATTGTTGTATTAGGAGTAGAAGCTTTAAAAAAGTGCTTTTACTCCGTATGCAACACGTTATTTTTTCTTCAAACGAATGAGGTAAGCTCAGGAGTATGGGAGTAACTGAATAGTTGAGCGGCAGTAAAAGTACGAGCGGCACTAAAAGTACTTTTACTGCCGCTGCGGATCCCTAGCAGCATAGAAATTAAATTTCTACCACCTTGACAGGTGTTAACCTGCTGGATTTGCCTAGCAGCATAGAAACTAAATTTTTAACATCTTGACAGATGTTAACAAAGTGACGTTTTTTTTACGCTTGGAGAAAAATTTAATTTTTATGCTGCTAGGCAACCGCAGTGGCAGTAAAAGTACTTTACCTACGAGCGTGCGGTAAAGTGCACTTTACCGCTAGTATTTGCAAATGGAAAGTTTCACTTTACCGCATAGTGTGCAGTAAAGTTAACTTTACAGCATAGTATGCGGTAAAGTAGAATACAAAGTGTGCGGTGAAGTAGAATTTGATATTTATAATCAAAAATCCTCTCTTTTTCAGAAAATGGATTTTTGATCATTTCTAAATCTTATCTAATTTCATTAATTAATCTCATTCATTAATTAATTTTATCAATGCCTTTTTTGGAGATGTAGATGCTCAGGTAAAATTTTGTACCTAACACATGCGGAAAGTGCCTTTGCCGCCCTTAACGGCTTGACCGAACTTCGCGTCGTTCGGTCGACTGCCGTTGCGTGCGGTAAAGTATCACTTTCCGCATTTGTTAGGTAAATAACTATTTTTTACAAACGTCACTAAAAGTGTCATTTTTAACGGATGCTGTCAGTGTCTAAAATGCCATTTTATGACACTGGTGTTAAAAGTGATTACTTTTAGCACTAGTGCTAAAAGTAATCATTTTTAGTGCGTTTGTAGAAAAAATAGTGTATGATATTCGTGCTAAAAGTGATTTTATTTTGTTCAAAGGGATGTGTTTTGCGGGTAGCTAATACGTAATGTCTTAGCTGGTAGTAGTGTTCAAAGCCCGATTCGGATTCACCCCCCACTCCTCTGACGTCACATGACCTTGACGCCACCCCCCACTCCTCTGACGTCACATGACCTTGACACCACCCCCCACTCCTTTGACGTCACATGACCTTGACACCACCCCCCACTTCTCTGACGTCACATGACCTTGACACCACCCCCCACTCCTCTGACGTCACATGACCTTGACCTTGGCCTTGAAATGTGACCTTGAGCGCCTCCCACTTTTCTCTCCCTGACCTTGAAATGTGACCTTGAGTACCCCCCACCACTTCTCCAACATATTCGACCTTGAATATTCAGGTGTTAGTACCTCCCACCAACCGTGAGATGTATATAAATTCTTTTCCGATTGAGGAAAGTTGCCATAGTCACACGCCAGCATTGTTTGTAGTACGATCTGTCACCTTCAAAGTCAACTAGAAATATTGTGTTTGTGAAGTATTCCGAAAGTGAGTGTGTGTTCAAGGTATCGTAAAAATTGTTACATTTTTCCTAAATTATGAGTATTTCAAAAGATACCTTGGTTGAAATCAATAATATGCTTAACAAAGATGTTAATTTTCTCGAAAGAAGAAAAATTTCTTCATTAAAGTTGGATGAAGTTTACATAATTAGAAAACTGGTGCCCATGGTAACACGGTTTGGTAAAACTATTCTTGTTACATTGTATGAAAAAACCGGAGATGTGGTTTTTGAAACATTTTTGCCAAAACGTGTAGCGGAAATGCTACCGGAGAACACCATCGAAATTATGAATTCTTCATCTGACAAATACACGCTGACATATTTGGGGCAAAGTTCGCAGTCATATGGGGGTAACACTAAGTCTCTTTTGAATTTTGGGTGTTTGGAATAGATTTTATATTATGGGGTGTACGAAATATTATTATTGATTGTTTTTGAAAAATGTAATGAGTTTTAGGGTATTGTAATTTATATATATTAGAACACATTCATATTTCAAATATTTCTAAAGATGTGTGACATCAGCAATAACACACCAAGTGTTAATGAAGAATTGGATTTCTACGTGATCTGGCTGGCGCGCAAATTGGGAGACATGGCCCAAGAAATATTACATTTTGAATATTTCAATTCGGATGTTCCTGCAAATGGTCAAAACGATTCAAAATATGTTCAAGACGCCATCAACTTTAATGTCGGAGCAAACTTATGCCGAAGATACTTATATGGTTCCTTCGGTCTTGACGAATTCTGTAGCCGAATGATCGAGGAAGACCTGAAAACATTCCTTATCGAAATACCACATATGCCAAGTGAATTGGTAACAAAATATGGGTTGGTGCAGGAAAGTGGTCTAACTCAAAAAGAAGAAAATAATGCACCCAAATAATTAAAATTAGTAAATTGTACCTTTGTAATAATAAATTTTTGTACATATTGGTTTGCGTTTTTGTTTTCATCCTTTACTCTTGGTTAGTTTCCCATATAAGCAAATGGTTGAAAATTACAAGGTTAGTTTTAGTTGAAAATGGGGCGTGTTAACAACACTATAGATAAATTTGGTCGACAAAGAGTATATAATAAACATCAGTTCTTACGTTGTACACAGAGAAATGGGTTCAAGTTAACTTTTGATGGTCACTATGATATTGAAGGGAAGCGTCTATCAAATGTTGCAAAACCGATAGCAGATAATGATGTTAGTACCCAGGAGTTTGTGCTTGAGAAAATTCGGTTGTTTCATCATCAAATGAAATATGCATTAGATGATTTAGAAAACCGTATAAACGAAAGATTTAAGAGCACAGATAAAAAAATGGATGATATTGGAAACATCTATATAAGCAAAGATCTGGAGAATGATAAAAAAATACGTAATTTAGAACGACGGATGGAAAATAATGAAAAAAAGCTAATAAATACCGACACAAGAGTTAATAACTTCATTTCTTCATCGAAATGGGGAGCGTTAACAAAACAATAGATAAGTTTGGTCGCCAGAAGACAGTTCATGATGACAGATTTCAAATTTTACGTGGTGCGTCGGGAATTGGATTTGTGCAAACACCCAATGATCAATTTAATAATGTGGGAAAGCGTTTGATGAATGTTGCAATATCGGAAACCAGTGATGATGCTACTACCCAACAATATGTGTTGACGGAGATCCATAAAGTGCGCCAAGAGTTAGCACAAAAAATAAACAAAATATATCAGGCTATTCATGAAAGTTTGATAAGCGTTGATGATCGAATGGTTACATTTGAAAATAAAATAAAAAGATATGATGCACAGGAAGAAAACATTGTGAAGAAAATAGCTGATTTGGAAAAGCGAATGAAACAGGATATGAAAATATTGTTGGGTGTTGAGAGGAAGGCTGATAGTATGATTGCAGCTAGCAAAGTACGAATATGACACAAGTTGAGATTTAAGTGAAGAATGACGAATCCCATCATCACCATCTTTATTAGATTCACCACCGTACAGAAAATTTATGACTGTTTCTAAACTTTTTAATAACAATTTTGTACTAAAACATATATTAAATCTGAAATAAAACCAAAAAATATTAAAAACTTGTTTATTTATAAGCCTTATATTTTACAACTAGGTACCCATACACTTAAAACTAGTATATATTTAAACAATATCAGACTTATCTATCCACGAGTTGAACTGATTCGGAAAACCTAACCATTTAACATATAATTGTTTTTTATTGTCTTTTTTACGTTCGCGAAGAACTTTTTCAACTAAATATACATCTGGGCTTCTCGTCTTCTGCAGCTCAGCTTCATAGAAACATCCTTTAATTGGTTGATTATCCATGGATTCCAACAGATATGTAGGTGGATTGGTAATGTTAACTTTCACTATCTTAAACAGTTCTGTCGACCAAGATGGTGTATATCCTTTATCAAATATACTCTTATATTTGCTTATCCGCACAATATCTCCCAGACGAAATTTATATTTTTTAGGCATCACTTTGATATGATTGTACACATTTAAATCAGTATTTTTTTTTACATTGATGGGTTTCATGCCAATGGTTCGATGTTTGGTGTTATTATAGGTTTTCGTTATTGCGGGTAAAAGATGTAACCATTTATTGGATCCCCTGGCAGAGAACTGCTTATATAAATTATTTTTTATGGTCCTTATAACCCGCTCTACAATTGCGGCCTTCATCGTGCTATATGTTGAATAATGATTAATATTGTGTTCCATCATAAGAGCTCGAAAATTCTTATTATAAAATTCCTTCCCATGATCACTTTGTATATTTGCTGGTGTGTATGCTGCTTCTTCTATTATACTTTTCATTGCTCTAGTAACTTCAACACCTGTTTTGTTCTTGATAGCTCTAGCGTATACATACTTGGAGTAACAATTGATGCATACCAGAATATAGCGATTCCCAGCATTTTCATCAGCAAATTGCTGCATTTCTGCTAAATCTATCTGCCACAAGTCTCCATAACCCTTAATAATCGTTCGTCTTCTAGTAAAATTTTTCCTCACATTTTTATGAAGTTCTCCAACAATTTTAAGTTTTTCATTGCCAGGTTCCATATCTATTCAAGTGTAGCGCGTCTCGTGGTACACTGATGCGATGTATGCATTGCTCAGTAAATTATACCCTCCTCACGAAGCTCTTCTATAATTGAAATAATCTCGTTATCGTGTCCTGTGTGTCCTGCCGCCTTAGAGCTCCACAATAAACGTAATCTATTCACCAACTCCTTGGGCTTATTCCAATAAACATATTCGGGATGATGACATGATAGAAGTTTTTTTTGTGGTATGGTAAATTTATTGTTCTTTTTGCGAATGCCTTCACCCAGTTTCGTCTTTTGCATCAAAGGTTTTATGATTTTCAAATATTTTTCCCACCTAGTTTCCGTCAGTCCATGTTTTTCATCATAGCGGTTGTATGCGGCATTCGTTAATTCTAAAATGTTTGCGTAATTTTGACGTACAGATGGACGCATGTCATCCAATCTATTCAATACTGGTGGACTTTTTAAAAACAGCAAATCGTAAAGTTCGCTGCTTCCATCGAATATAGCAATGTTTCTCGATAGGTCATTATATAATGATACTTTTCCTTCGGGAAAACGTACTTCCTTATCGCCAATGTATGTCTTATTTTTGACCTTACTATTTTTATTACCGTAATGTACCCCATAAACGGTATCATACTGAGATGGTGTTTTTTTAAGGCCGCTCAAAAGTGCGTTGAGATAGCTCCTAGATTTTGTAGATGTTTTACCACTAGATACATCGGATAATGTAGGGGATGTAATTGATGATGGGGGTGTGTCGAATAGGTGTTCCCTTCTCGTTGCATCTATTGGTGTAGATATTTGTAGTGACTGGTGTGATGTGCTCTCCGCCATTGATGGTGATTTCTCAAATATTTCTGATGGATCAATCGACACGCTTACACTCTGCTTTCGCGGTTTTGTTTGTGCGTTTGGTTGTTTGCTCTGTTTTTGTTGTTTTACGTCATTAGAGATAGATGTTAAGGGTTTAGTGATTGGTTCATAGAATTTCTCCAATTCAAATTTATGCTTCGCCGTTTCTGTTTTAATTTGTTTAAATTTTTTTCTAACTGCATCTGTAACAGCTACCAGTTTACGTTTTAAATCAAGTTCGTTATTCATGGTGTTGTCTCAGTACTGCGCACACATGAAATGAATCACATACGTTTTTATTATACAAATATATAGCTGTCGAATCCTTTGCGGTATCTCCCTGAATTCAAATCACAATCTTTGTCTATAACGAGAAATCCATATTTATTGTTCCAACACTTGGAACACATCTCCTGGAATTGTGTGAATGTTACATCAGGAGAAACATGATCTGAGAAGATGTGTCTTAAATTCATTTCATCTTGTTTGAACATAATAATTAAGTTGGCATTATCACGTACAAGTTGTTTTGGGACTCGGGAATAGGTTTGTGCTAAGTAAAAAGCATCCACATTTTTATGTCTGCCCATACTAAAGTATGATCTTATTATATCTTGTTTTTCACACATGACGTCATCAAAAATGAAAACAGAGTTTTGTCTGGCATCTGATGGTTCCACAATGTTGGATGCATCAGTAAATGTGTAAAAACCCATCCCCTTGATAGGTGATAGAATTTTTCTCAAATACTCATATTTCGGCTGGTATAGGGACTTTGAATAGATGTAGACGTTCTCGAAACGTAATCCCGAAGGATGAATAAGCAGTGTGATCATAACATTAGTTTTCCCACAATTTGACGGTCCGATTAGCAAGCCGCGAATAGAACGCGGAAGCAAAGGGCCATGTCTTCGGTATTCCTTTTGCATATATCCAGATCCAACTTTTTCATCAAAATTGTCGATATTAAACTTTTGTTTTAGGTTAACGAAACGCATGTTTTTTCATACACGCAGTCGCGCACAAATAAATAAATATTATAACAAACTGTTCACGGTATTTATCATTTAGATGGCAATCGTCAAGCGAAGTGGACGTTCTCGTTATTCAAATAAGACTGGATGTGGTATTGTAAACTCACTAATTAATAGTCTCCCGTTCGAGTTACATATACCAGGAGGCTATCAGTACTGCGGTCCGGGCACGAAAGTTCTGAAACGTGTGGCACGAGGTGATAGAGGTATAAATCTCCTGGATTCTGCATGCAGAAAACACGATCTATCTTATCTGCATAATAAAGATAATTTAACTGCACGACATCAGGCCGACTACGAGTTGGAACAACGAGCTTGGGAGAGAGTGAAATCTAAAGACGCTAGTGTAGGTGAAAGGGCTGCTGCTTGGTTAGTAACAAATATCATGAAAGGAAAACAGCGATTTGGGATGGGTGTATCGACTGTATTGAAGAAAAAGAAAAGGCTCCGCAAAGGAAAGCATCACAATGGTGTTGTAAAGAGGGCTGGTGCAAAACGGACAAGTAGACAAAAAGTGAAAAAAGTAGCGTTTGGATCAGCTGTGAGAAGACCAATTCGTTCAGAACTGATGAAAGCTGGAGGACGAAAATTTGTTGAAAAAAATTTCCTGCAAGCTTCTAAAATAGCTATAGCAGCTGCACGCAAGTCTGTGAAAGCAGCCGGTGGTAGGCGAAAGATTCGAACACCAAGAGTTCTACCCATACCCAAAGTTGGAGGAGTGTTACCGCTCATACCAATATTTGCAGGATTATCGGCGCTTGGATCTATTGCAGGAGGGGTCAGTGGGATAGTACGCGCAATAAAAACCACGAAAAATGCCAATGCAGAGAAAACAGGAACCACCTTACACCTTAATTCACGAGGAAGCGGATTGTATCTAAAGCCCTATCGAACAGGGTTAGGATTATTCATGC